TGTTGCTCTTTAAGCATGCTTCACTTTGTCAGACAGGTTCTATTTAAGTGATTTCTTGATTCAACAGGTCTGGCAGTAATCAGGCCTGCGTGTGGCTAGTGAAATTGAACTCAGCTTTCTAAAATAACGTGGTTAATTACAGTTCTTTCATGATTTAACAGGAGCGAATACTTTTTCACGTAGGGCCAGATAGGTTCGGACAGCTTTTTTCCCTTAATAAATGAAATCATCATTTAAAAACTGCATTTTGTATTTACTTGCATTATCTTTGTGTAATATTAAAATTTGTTTGACGATCTGAATCTTTTAAGTGTGACAAATATGCAAAAAATGAAGAAGAAAAAAACCAGAAAGGGGGCAAAAACCTTTTCACGGCCCTGTATATATATATACACACACACACACACACACACACAATGTATATTATGCAAATAAAACTGAATATATATATATATATATATATATATATGCTGTAAATATATAGTTTGAACTTCAATTCATTAATAATAAAGTCTTTGCAAATAAAATACACTTAAAATTATAATATATATATATATACTCTATAGTAATTACATTTTTTACATTTATATATACTTTGTTTATATTATAATCCATTAATACACCCACACATATGGATATATACACACATATTATAAACTACATGATATTAAAATGTAAATATATATTTCGTTTTTTTAATATCATGTAGTTTATAATATGTGTGTGAGTTTATATAAAATGAATATTATGAAATTACACACACACACATACATACACATATTTAATTTATATTTAATTATAAATTAAATTATATTATTAAAATGTATTTATTTAAAATAAATCTGTATATGTTAGTTATTTGGTATAACTTAAATTAGTTAAAATCAAAAATTTGTGCTTCCACAAACCTGTTATGAACATTTTAAGAGTTCAACAATTTTTACTATATTAGTGAGGACATAAAAAAAAAAAAAATTATAATAATAAACTGTTTTACTAATGAGTAAGCTTAGCCCAACCCATAACATTTTTTGAAAATAAAATAAATAAATAAATATATTTTTTAAAAACATTACTTAAAAATAGTACTTCCATCCCCGGATTTCCCCAAAGGCAGGTTTTGTCAGATTTAGCTAGATTCTGGGGACAAATTTCCCCCCAGAATCATAACCAAGTGTTTCCAGATTAAAGACACACAGGTTACGCCGAAGGTTCCTGATCAGCTAAAAAACATGCAGGGCACTTGTCCCCATGACAACACTGACGACATCACTTCCTGTGCCATGACAGGTTTTGACCAGGTTCTGATGAGGTTGCCAGGGCGACACACTCATGCAGGTAACACACACACACACACACACACTATTTTCCTCAGCCAGTGACTTAAAAAGCTGGGTTTGGTTTGTCATTCATCAGGCTGGGTGAAGCGGTAAATACCGGACAGGTGTTGATATGCAAATGTGGGCAGGCATATGTTAATGAGCTCATGTATTATTACTGTGGTGTCAATAAATGCTCTGGAGGAACTGGACAGGAAGTTAAGAGTTCAGGAAGTTTCCACAGAACACCAGCCTTTTAAACCAAACAAACAAAGCCAAACAATGTGTGTTTATTTACCTTCATAACGATGAAGATGACGAGGATCACGAAGACGTTAGCCTGCGGATGTTTCCAGGCGGCCGAGTGACTGTCATAATTAAAGTCTTCCGTCATTCCTTGCTTCGTCCAAGTGCGATTGTCAAAAAATGAAACCAGGGTCTCCTTCTGTGTAAGCTATAAAAAACAAAATACATGTTATGAACAGAAAATCTGGTATTTATTTTCTTATTTTAAACATAAACCTCTCAATATTTTGATAGTTTTATGCTGAAATAAAAACATACATTTGCTTATAGGGTATACAGGTAAGAAAATAATTTAAGATATTTTCTCTAAAAAAATAAATTAAAAAAATAAACAAATTATTATCATACATCAGAATTTCCCTGATTGTTAATTAATCATAGAAATTTAGAATTTAAATAAATAATTTAATAACAAAACATTTACATGCAAATATGACTCCGTATGAATTTTAGTTTAATTTAGATTCTATTATGGTTTTTAATAATATTTTGACTATTTTTTATTTCTATATTTTCAGTTTTCATTTTCATTTTAATTAAAATTTTAGCAATTTCATTTTAGTCATTTTTTTGTAGTTTTTTTATGTGTGTCTGTACAGTATTTAATTTTTATTTTAGTTTGAGTTATTTTAGTACATCAAGTTCAATAAAATAACATTTAAAAAATGTTGCAATGTTGCGTTTTTAATTTAACAGCAACGAAAATAATTGTTAATGGCTTTAGCTTTAATTTCAGTTTTAGTTTCAGTTAACTTTAATAACCCAGATATGAACATGCAAATGTGTTGTTAAATTATTGAAACAATAACTTAATCTCTGAATAATGATACAGTTGTCTTCTGTATATCTGCTTAAAGCAAAATTAAACTTGTTTCTTCATTAACTTTGGCAACATTGAAATGAATTAAAACAACACTAAATTGAGCTGAATAAATGACACCATTATCTTACGTAGAGTTGAATTCACATTGAATTTAACTGCTTTCATACTTGATTAATTTTACAACATTAACATAGTTACTTTCCTGTTTATTAATGTAAAGCTGCTTTGAAACAATCTGTGTTGTATAAAGCACAACAGAAATGAACTTGAGACTTGACAAACATTAACATCCTTTTTAGGGATGTTTAGATGCATTTTACTACAAAAAAAAATACTGATTAAGAAAGGATTATTTGCAGTGTTGTATAATAGTGAAGTCATACGCTGTTAATGAGGCCTTTTATTGCCTCATTCAGAGTCACTGATTAAAGAGAACGAGTGAGTGTGCATGCGTGCGTGTGTGAGTGAGTGAGTGTGTGTGTGTGTGTGTGTGTGTGTGTGTGTGTGTGTGTGTGTGTGAGTGTGTGTCAAAGCCCGGAGGGAAAGATAGTGTAGAAATCAGTAGAGTGACGAGCGCGGGATACAACAGACGCCTGAAACACAATCAGACACATTAAACATGTGAATAGACCTCAATCTGTTCAGACAACTGTGTTTGAAATTACTTGATTGCTTTCAGAAAGCTTTGGGGATTTTTAGATGTCAATTAAGACATCTCCATTTTTTTTTTAGTACATCTTAATTTAAATTTACATAAGTTAACTTCAACATGCAGTAAGTTAAGTCTTGTTTCAAATATCTAAACATTCTTAAATTAACATACGTTTACTTTTGAAGCAAAATGTCTTCAGATATTAAGTCTGAAGTTTTCTACAATTTTGTAAGCTTTTGCTTAAAAGAGAAAAAATATCTGCCAATGGAGTAAGAATATTATCTTAATTCTTAATAATTATTAATCTATCTTAAGCAAAAAGATTATTTTCCTTTAAGATTAATTAAGAATTAAGATTATTGGCATATATTTGTTGTTGTTTTAAGCAAAACTAAGAAAATGCTGATATTTTTCAGAAAAAAAACTAAAAATCTCAAGTCATTTTGTTTCTGAAGTAAATGTATTTTGATTCAAGAATGTTTAGATATTTATACTTAAAACAAGAAAAAAAAAAGTAAGAAAGAAAATAATTTTTGCAGTGCATAAATTGAACTGAAGGAGAATGAGAAATATCTCCACGGCAACAGCTGAAAAAAAAATGTCATTGTAACAAAAAAAATATATATTTTTTTTTAATCAAGGTTTTGATATATTTAACTAATTTCAGTAAAAAAAAAAAAAGGTTTTCGTTTCAGTTTCAGTTAACTATAATAACCCTGGGAACACTTACTTCTTCATGAGGAACTTGTTAATAGTTTTCTGTTTTCGCATAAACTGCACAATAAGCCTGTTCAAATACACAAATAAGGCACCACCAAACCCGCTGGCGATTCTGCAGAGAGACACATCATGCATATTTATTATGAGTGGGATAAAATGCTCATAAATTATTCATAGTTCATTAGATGATTTTGTTTGCTCTCTCATCAAATATCTGCTGGGTACAAAGTGTCTAAAACAAATGCACACGAGCAATTAGCAGGAGACACTGATTCACGTTTGAAATGATTGCTCAAGTGTACAGTAAGCAATAAAATAAAGGACAAAAGAAACACATTACAAGAAACAGAAGAAAAGTCAACCAGCTTTAAAGACAAATGGATATGTTGTTAATCATGATTTTGTTTTTCAATGCAAACAATCATTTGCCTTGCTTTACCATACAAAATGTATCTAAATATCCTTAAAATATGCATGGAAAAAGGAATATTGATGCATTAAATATAAAAATGTTTTAAAGACTGTGTTACCTGTCCGGCCATGAACTGCCCAAAGCCCGGAGGGAAAGATAGTGTAGAAATCAGTAGAGTGACGAGCGCGGGATACAACAGACGCCTGAAACACAATCAGACACATTAAACATGTGAATAGACAATATAAAAATGTTTTAAAGACAGATCTAACAAAATTTTGCTTCACTGGTAAATTCACTGCTTATCATTTTAAGGAATTTTTTACTGGAAACCAAGACGAATTACATTAGGAAAATTATTTTTACACTGAGGTGGTACACAACAAATGCAAAGAAACAAGAAGAGAATAATCGAAGCAGAACTGACCCGATCACAGCAAACGCTGGAAGCTCTTGGAGGTCAAAGGGGAAGTCCAGTCTGAACCGCGTTTTAAAGAGAGCCGTGATCGTCTCTGAGAGAGAGAGAAGATTGCTTTAACTCTTCACATACACATCATGTGTTTTCTAAAGCGTATTAATGCACACAAACCTTCATCTCTGTTCCACACGGCCAGAACTCTGAAGATAAAGGCACTAAACGTAGCAGCAAAGAATCCGCGCCAGTAGTTTCGTACGGCGAAAAACGTGGAGGTGACTTCAATGCTGAATAACACACCTGAAATACACACATATAGAGTTAATATCTTGATGGAAATTTTCAGTGGTTTTTAATACAGAATTTTTCTAAGTGTTTTGAAATATGTGACCCTGGAGCACAAAACCGGTCATAAGTGCCAATTTTTCGAAATTGAGATGTATGCATCATCTGAAATAAGCTGAATAAATCAGTTTTCCATTGATGTGTGGTTTGTTAGGATAGGACAATATTTGGTCGA